AAACATAACTTATACTTAACTTAAACAGTTCACCAAAATAGTAAAAAAAAAATACTGGAGAATATGAATGGTTATAAAAACTTTCATATTCTCTCGTATAATTCAATCACATATGCTATATATCTTTAATATTCGTTTTTGGTTCGATTTGAAAATAATTGAGATTTGAGAGTTAAGTTAGAAAAAATTTGCCACATACTATTACCCCTAACAAAAAAGGTAAAAATTGCGGCATACATTGCATGTATAGTTTTAGTAAACTTTTTTATTTTAGTCTTTTGGTCAAAAGTTTTGGTAAAGTTTAATATTACCTAATCATTGTTATTTTGCATAGGGTTAGTCATTAATCATTACGTACTAGTTTATTACCGTTTCATTTTTTGCTTGGGACATAACCTACGATTTCTTCCAACAACGACAACGTCGCTCCGGAGTCAAAACCAAACTTAAGTAAACACTACGCATTCTCTTTGAAGGTTTTATTTTGCAATAGTTTACAAAATTTAGAGAGATCATAGATATATTTCAATAAGTGCCAAAATCATTAAGTAAGATTCAATCAGTATCACGAGCGACATCATATAATTCCAATGGGAATGCAATGGACAATAATCAGCAAGTTTACAATAGACAAAATTCTAGACAACTAAATAATTTTTGTATTGTTAGGCTAATCTATTAACACATCATCCCAAGGCTTAAAATAATGAATACATTATATGCTAATTTTCAATTAACATATCAAAAGAATTTGCAGCTTTTTATATCGATCTTTACTTATACGAGTCTTCTCTACCAAAATCATACAAACAACATTACTAAGAATGTATAAGAAAGAACAATAATTAAAAAAAAACAATTGAAAATAAAAAAACAACGTTAATAAATAATGTTGCTACAATAATGAAATTTGTTGGTTGTATGATCATTGGTCGTAATGTTTGTGTATGGTGTGGCTTATTTCATCACTCCATATCTCTAAGGCTTTCACTAGTCAACCACAACTTCTTCTGGACAATGAATATAACATTGTCTGAATCTTGATCTGAATCTGAGTCTGTCTTGGTCCCTACTTCCTCCCAGTGCAATGCCTTTAGATACTTCTTAACCAAATCCACCACTCTTTGTTTATCCCTTATGATTATAAACCCGCTCGGGCGCAGTATTCGATCCATCTCCAGTAACAAATCCACTTCACTACACCCTTTCTTATTGATATCCGAGATAATGTCCCAAGCATGGAGGAAATCATAGGTTCTCGGATATGTCGAGAATGCTTCACACCTGTGGTACATTCAAAACCGAATGATTAAAACCAAAAACATGCTTAAGATTCCAATTTTGCTGTAGAAACAATGTGTCATTTTGATAAGTATAAAAACTGACCAGCTATGAACTGCGCCCATTAGACCTCTGTCATATATTAGTTTAAGCGTGTTAGGTCCGTCCTCAGGAACAACATTCATTACCCAGACATCTTTTTCTTTTAGAGCAGCAGCAAAGGAGCCCATGCTTGCTTTCATGTCCATTATGTTCCTCACTGTATCTGATTCGATTCTTGGACTCAAGAGATCCCAATAAGTATCTACTCTTTGCCTCCAAAGTTCCTGTGCGAATAAGAAACATATGATGTGACTGCGTAGCCCATGTTTTTAGTTGCAATAAACAGAGAAGTTATGTGTTCCTATATACCGTGTCCTTCTCAAACATGCCAGTTGAATATCCAAAATCAGCAAGCCTAGGAGGAGGAGAGGTTAACCGAGCCGGCCATGGAGCTAAGCCACTTCCTTTGGTTTTGTGGTCATCTAAGAAAAACCCAAAAAAGAGTTCAGTGAGAATCCAATTTGCTATCCCATACTTAATTTCAGAGGAAATATACGCTGCTATTGAAAAGCGAGGAGAAGCTTACGGTCACTGTAAGATGTAATGCATGCTTCCATGTTTACGCCCCACACAGCATCAGGGTCATTATCAGAACGGCAAAGAGGAGGCTGAGTTCCAGGTTCTCTTTCCAGATAACAATCATTTGTCAAAGGTTTTTCCCAAATAACAGTTTGGTTCCTTTTTGCCGCGATCTTCCAACACATACGCTCCACAAGAGCACTCATTTCTCTCCAGATTCTGAGGTCCTCTTCATCTTGTGCATATGCCTCTGGGGATGAATATGCAAAATAACCACCAGGTCTAAGTACTCTGTCTAGCTCGAGAAGAAGAATCCCGTCTCTTTGAAGCCAATCGATTCTGCAACGTGAACAGTGAGCAAGTTCAAAAGATCTGCTTGGGTATGGGAGTCTCTTTGTCCCTAAAACACCGAGGGAGGCAGGAATCCCTCTCTCAAGAGCAAATTGGATTTGGTTCTGATGCACATCATTTGGAGCCAAGGACATTGCCAGAATATCTGATGATAGAAGATAACCTCCAAAACTCGCAACACCACAACCAACATCAAAAACTGTCCTTAGCCTTCCACCATTGTTCAAAACGTTATTCGGAAAGTTAAGCATCTGAAATTTTCGAGAATACAATCAGCGAATGAAGAATAATATATGCTGTATTGAACAAACACCAAGTAACTGCTCTTACATTTGCCATCGATGCAATATACTTATCAGCCCCATAGTGAAAATGTGTGCCTCCACCTGGGAAATTAATCTTATCTCCTTTGACAACCATCCAGTTTTGGTCAGACTTCTCATGTGCAAGGTGAGTATGAGGTATGTTCACTTTCCACACTTCGTCTCTACTTTTTGGCCATTTAATTGGAACCTATAACATATTGGAAGAGAAAACAGTTATGTCAACAACACTAATCATATCGATATAACTGGAAAAATTATCGATAGACACCTTATATCCATTTGGAGGAGGAATCAAGCAATTAAATCGTCTTTCAGGAGGAGGACAATGACGTTCATAATGCTCCATCAAAGACAAATCCAGCTTCAATCTCATTTGGTAAATAAGATTCCTGTCTAAGCAAGGAATAAGCTCCGAATGCCGATCATCACACACCTTTGATAAAAAAGAAATAACACATTAATATTTTACCACTAGAACCTAACCATCATTAAGAAAATGCTCAAGACTCACAGGAAAACTTCTCGGCGTGAAACCATCATCAAAACCAAATGAGCTAGAAGTGTCATCCTGTTTAGTATCATCATCATCCCCACCCAACCCGAGTTTTCTCCCGTATTCGATAGCCGATGCTCTATGATCAGAAGAGCCGTAGAACAGATATACGAAAACAAGAACTACCGCTGCAACGCAAACCAAAGCAATCACCCGCTTCTTTTGCCCTCCATCTGATCTTCCCTTCATTGCTTTCTTATTTGAGATAAAGCCAAACGGAGACCCAACGTTCCGACTTAAAGGATGCAGACTACTAAGTGAAGACTTCAGTTTTATAAATTGATGATTTCTCACTAGTTACAGATATTTGAATCTGTTCCATATAAAAAAAAAAAAGACAACGATCAGTATCTATAAGAATAGAAGCAATGAGATTTATAAGACATGAATAAATTTAGAAACTCAGGACCAATGTTAACCATTCAAATACCAAACCACAAATAACACAGAAATGTGTTCTTTCTACTACTCACTTAGAGAAACTAAAGTATCCAATCATAAACACTAATAAAGAATCTGTCAATTGAGGAAATAAGTAATCACTCAATTCACAAAACAATTGATGTTCTGTTAGAATTTGGTGTGCTTGTTGTTCACTATTTGGTCCGAATCTTTCCACTAAGAATCTACTACAATTTCCCAGAATAAGAACAGATCTGGTGTGAGAATGAAACAGAACAGGATCGACTCATAAATACATTATCCACTGGTATCAATCAAAACCATATTAGAATGACCCAGAAAATAAAAAATAATCATTAAGGAAGTTTATGAACATGGAATTTAAATCTAACACAGTAACATCGATAGACATAGTTAAAAGTATCACAGAGCAAAACCAATTCGTATCTCAACCAAATTGAGGAAAAAAATTGAAACTTTAAACACAACAGCGAAACCCAGAAAGATCAAAAGAGGGGACTTACACAACCCAAGTAAGGTTCTAGATTTGGAAGAGAAAATGACAGATCTCGAGGCAAAAAACCGCAGTGTAATGTTATTCGAAAGAGATAAAGAAGGAGATGGGGAGAGAGACTCGGATCTGGGTTTGGTTTGTGTATCCTCTAAATTAGGAAAGAGACCAACTTTTTTTGATTCGTGTGGAATGGGAATGAAGGCAGCAAAGCGACACTGCAAGTGCAAGTGCAAGTGAAGAAGAGAGAGAGAGAGAGAGAGAGATAAAATCGGTGGAGGTCGTTATTTGTTCATCGGTTTATATAAATATTTTTTTCTTCTTTTATCATCAATTCTAGTTTTTGTCGGCGTTCTCTTTTGTTATTTTTTTTTTGGGATAAGAAAAAGTTGTATTTGCCAAAAAAAAAAAAAAAATTCTTTAGATTTTCAAATTCAAAATAAAATTTACATTTTTTTAAAAAAATCTTATTAATATGCGAATTTTCAAAAAACCTGAATTTATAACAGTGTTCTGAAAAGCGGTCGTTTAGGTCTCGCCTAGGCGCTAGGCGCTCAGGTGACGCCCAATCGACCGCTTAGATTGCCTAAAATCGCATACGTTTTGTTTTAATGTGTTTTTCTAATTTTTAACTACATAAATTAAAATTATAAGTTTTAGCTCCATTTATATTGTTTGATATGAATTATAGAAATGTTTTTGTCTAATTTTTGTTTACGATTTAATATTTTTATTTTTCTAATAAATAGTTTTATATGATTTTAAGTTATAATATTATATTTATAATGTGTGAAGTTGTAAACGTTTAAACAGCCTAAAATCGCCTAGATCCCGATTAAGCGTTTTGGTCACTGACTGGCGTCTGCTTAGCGTCTAACGCTTTCTTGAACATTGATTATAGATTGTTCTAAATAAGAAATTTTATCTATTTCTCTACAAATTTGAACTTAAAAAAAAAAAACAAAGTTGTAAGTTGTAACATTGAAGAAAATCAACTCTGATCAAACTTGTATACAGAGAAAAAAAAAACAAACTAAACTTGTCGTGATCATATATTTCGACTTCATCACATAATAAAAGATTGTAGTTATCTTTCAAAGACAACAAAAAATAGGAGATAGTTTCAACTTCTTCCAGCCATAGAAGAGATATGATCCTTTCCTTCAAACATGGTATAGCTTAATGACCTGATCGATGTTGGCGCGACAAACAGGACATCCCATTTTCTTGTTTTTAATCTCTTTCAAGCAAGAAATGCATCCGGCGACATGTCCACACGGCACACACACTGCTTCAGATGGTGCATCCACACAAATCACACACAGTCCATCTTCTTTATTCTCAATTTTTGGAGATGGAAGTGAGATGTCGACATGAGTCAAATCGTCATCTCTTAATGGAGAAACATTGGTTGTTTGAGATGTTTTCATAAACATTGGAGGATTCATTGGCTGTAGTATTAAAAGTTTAAATGAGTCACAGAGCCACATATATAAAATATCTTAAGTACTCCAAAAGTTGTATATATCTTATGGCATTTACCTGTGGAACTCCTTTACATGCCTCAGAAAACCAATTTAACTGTTTCATGTCGCCTTTGATCTCAGCTGCCAGCTTAAGACGTATTTCTGAAACAAAATTGAGATTAGAACAAAAAAAAACTCATGGTTTTAACTCATTAGACGATTGATAACTCTTCTTGTAATATTTTTTATGGTTACTGAATCTTAAAGAATAAACAATAGTACAAAATTGTGTACACTTACGTCTATCGACTTGAGCCCAACGCCTCGCTTGAGAAATGAATCCGCTTTCTCTTCTCTGCCTCATGCACCTTGGACCTATCCATGATAATAAAGTTCAATCAACAAGGAACAAACACATTCCCTAAAAAATGAAGAGTGTTAATTACTTTTGGAATTGTCAATAATCATCACCAAATCATCAGACTGATATGATTTTGGTTCCTCCAAGTTAGCTTTCCACAAATCCATCACCAACCTTGGTTGTGCAACCTAATTGTAAACAGTTTCATAAGTATAGAAATCTCATAACATTGAAACAATGATATTAGCCAACAAGATTCCTAAACCAGTGAACTAGATAATGAAAAATTCCTCAAGAGATTAAAGGATGATTTTTAGTACCTGAAGACTATCATACACAGCCAACTCCAACTTTAAAGGCTTTGTAGGGTTTCTTGAACCAGTTGGTACGACAACTACCCATCTGCAAAAACATATGTTCCAAAAAAGATTCATATTCATGTGCCACAACAAGAAACAAGAAAGTAATTAGGTGCTAAAGATTGAAAAATCGGTTAAATGATAAATACTCACACTTTTCTTGAAAGAAGCCGAGGAGCAAATGATTCAAGAAAGCTGGGGCCACAAAACTCACGCATACAACCAGAGAACAAGCAGATATGACTCTACAGAATCATGCACAGTCTAAAAGTTATAAAATGCTCATGACTCGTCCAATTGTAGTAAATATGAAATAAGTATTACAAGAACATATACCTCGATTGCGCGTACAACATTACTGTAACCTTCAGTTCTAGCAACCTCGAGAGCCGTCTGAATTTCATCATCAAGAATCAGGGGTTTTGCTACAAAAATGAAAACACAGATATGTAAATATAAATGAAAAACCATAACAAGATTTTTTAATCATCAAATTGGTAAAGAAGATAATATCAAACCAAAACTTACCACCGTGAGACAGAAGTAACTTAACTGTGTGTACGAGACCTCTTCTTGCAGCATGGTGCAGAGGAGTCCCACCATTGCAACCTGATACCAACAAAAACGAAATTTTCACACTCACTTTCAAGTTTTTTCTTAAATAAATTTTGAATGAATTAGCTCAAAATATGGTTTGATGAGAGGAATATCAAGAAATTTTATTATGAATAAAGCCGCAAAAACAATGCATTGATAATAATAGTACCAGAACGATAAGCATTGACATTGGAACCCAACTCAAGCAGAGTTTTTGCTACATCATATAGATCGTCGTCTGTACAAGCTAAGATTAATGGTGTTCTCCCTAACTTATCCACCCCCTGCATCCAAAACCACAGTGTACAATTAAGAAAACAACAACACCAAGAGGATAATTACTAGAGATTTGGTTGAAACACAAAAATATTTGAAAAGATGGGAGTAGAGAAAGAAGAAAAACCTCGAGTCCTGCACCTTCACGGCAAAGCGATTTGATACCTTGGACGTTGTTGTTACTCACTTCTTGAAACAATATCTCATCCTTGGTTTGTGATTGTTGTTGCCCCATTTTTTTAAACGAATATCAAAATGAATTGAACTTAGATAGAAGAAGAAGAAAATCAAGATCTATTATATATATAGAAAATGAAAAGTTCTATCATATTGAGTTAAGAAATTGGGAAATGTAAAGGAAAAGATTATGAAAAAACGCGGCAATAGCCAGGAATTGATTGTATAATTGCTTCAAGAAGACAAAAAAACAAAAAAAAACTATTGCTATGGAGACTTTTTCAAGAACAATGAAGTGTCGGAGAAAGTTCAGAATTGAATTGACTCAGTTAATAGAATACAAAAAGTGGGGACTTTGGAGTTGACTCAAGAAAATGCCAAATTGCCAAGAAAACAAATAGTAAACTTATTTAACATTTTACCCAAAAAAAAAGAGAGAAAAGATAGTAAACTCAAACAAGAATCTAACAATTAGAACATTAATATAACTCTTGTGACATAAAATATGAATCTAATATCAAAAGAAAGTTAACAATAAATCTGTGTATCTATTTTGGATGAGTCGGATCTACATTAATGACATTCCAATGATGCCTTGTTCCCCAATCTACTTTGCCAAACTGCTATTATACACATGATGACTAGCTTTCAAGAACTTCTCTGAATCCTCTGCTTGATCAGGATTTGGTTGTGTAGGAGAAGCTGGTGGTTGAGGTTGAGTTGGTTGTGTAGGAGAAGCTGGTCGTTGAGGTTGAGTTGGTGTAGGAACAGGATCAGAAGCCGTTGGACTTGATGATGAAGCATGATGACTATACCTCTTAAGCAACCTATCTTTTTTGCTATTCCACCATTCTTCTGCTTGATGCTCATCAAATCTCCGTTTGCTACAAAGAAACTCATTTCACCAAAATGATTTACATAAATCTAGATAGAGAAGAGAGGAGATTTTGATGAAGTTAAAAATACCTGAATCTAACTCTTCTAAAGATCTTTCCACCATTTTTGTGCAATACATAAGTAACATAAACACCGGGTTCAAATTGTTCGATAAGTTCTTTGCCTCCTCCTTTAGATGATGATGAAGCTTCTGTTGTCCCTGAAGGTTCTTGAGACCTCATGTTACCTCCATTGGATGATGGTTTTTCTTCTATGTTTTGATCTTGTGTGTTTGCAGAAGGGGTTGGGTCTTGTTGACCCATTCCCACAGATGTTGTAGGTAAAGATGATTCAGATGCTTCACTCGCGTTTAGATAAGCTTCTGCTTGAGAGTTCATGGATTCAAAAGCTTCACATCCAGATACTTCAGGAGGTAGTTTCTCTTTTAACTCTCTCAACTGTGGTAAACAAAGCAATGATTAATTTTAGAAAGTTTCCTTGTTTGTTTCCCAAGAAAACAATCTTTTAAGCATATTTTAGAAGAAGAAGCTTACATGTTCAGCGACAGATTTCATGACCTCTGTTGCTGCCTTATGCTTCGAAGAATGTTTTACAGCTAAGTCAGAAGCTTCTCTTGCTGTTTTCTTTAATCTTTGGATCTCTGTACCTTGATTATCACATTTCTCTTTCAAATTTTTAATCTGAAAGTGTTTTATCAATGTATTAGATCTACTTTAATGTTTAATAAACCTGAGAATTTTGAGATAATATTACAAACCTGGCTTTGCAATCTTGTCATTTCTTTGTTTATAACACCGTTTGATTTCTTCAAAGTGTCAATCATGCTCCTGGAAAATCCAGAACTACGTGGAGGGCTTGATCTTCTTGATGATCTTATACCTGAGGAAAGTGTCGATGTCGAAGTTGAGGCAGCGGGTTTCAAGGCATTTTGAATCGCGCTAAGCGAGCTTGGGAATGCGACATCTCTAAGTTGCTGGAGAGCTGGAACTTGTGAAGCTCTGACAATAGAAGATTCAGATCTTGATGATCTAACCTCAGAATACTTGACTGGTTCTGTTTTGGGGGACAGTAAAATCTTTGACGACCTTATATCTCTGTCTGGTCTGACCGACCCATCTAGTGACCGCGTTGTGGAATTTCTGTTAGCAACATTAGAGTTATAACCAGACTCTCCAGCTTTAAGTTTTGTGTAACAAGCATCACATACTCGATGTGGCTTCCCTGGTGTTGGAGCTAATGCTGCTTTCAAAGCTTTCTTGGAACTACAAGCATGACAATGCACTAAACCGCAGTTATAGCAATTATGCCTCTTTCTTGTAAAACCAAATGCTTGACGACAACCAGAGCAAACTGATTGATCAGCACCTGAGACCCACTTATGGATACATATGCTTGATGTAAAGTTGGAGCCACATGATATACTCTTCACATGCCTCTCCTTTAGAGCTTCAACTAATGTTGGCGTTTTTCGATCTTCTTTGTCCCCATGTCCTAGTCTTCCATTTGAACCTTTTCCCCAAGTGAAGACTTCACTTCTAGATGTCAGGACAGCAACATGATGATCCCCACAAGATATTTCTTCAACGAATTCACCAACCAATCGATCTTGAACCAAGCAAGGCAATTTACCATCCGAATTTGAGCTACCGAGCTGACCATGTGAAGTCCCTCCCATAGTGAAAACATGTCCTGAGGTTGTGAGTGCAACTGTCAATGTATGACCACAAGCTATTTGTTGAAAGTTGTAGTCAATTAGTGAAGAGACACAAGTGGGAAGTAAATAAGTCTCTTTATTTCCATGTCCTAGCCTGTTTTTATCACCATCACCCCAAGTAAACAACTTTTTAGATGACATACTAGTACCGGTCTGATTCATAACTTCAACTATAGCTACCGTATGCCACACGCCACAAGCTACTTTCATGGTTTTAAGACCACTCAACATTTTTACTTCTTTAGGGTATGAAACACTCTCTCTATCTCCATGTCCAAGAACACCAAACGCTCCATCACCAAAAGTGAATAGTTTTCCATTAGCAGTTGCAAGCGCCGAATGCCACGTGCCACACGCAACAGACAAAACCTGAAGTCCTTCAACAGGACCAGAGACTCTTTTTGGTATCCAATGACTAAGATCACTTCCATGTCCCAAAAGTCCAACATTATGGATTCCGTCTCCCCAAGTAAACAAATCTCCGGATGTAGAAACAGCACACGTATGATATTCTCCACATGCAACAAAATCTATGTTGGTAAGAGCAAGAAACTCAACAAGTTTTGGACGACTTACGTCGACTTGAATACCATGTCCAAGCCTTCCTCCAGCTTCCTCTCCCCATGTAAAGACTTCACCTTGTCTTGTTACAAGAGCGATGTGCCTTACCCCGCAAGCTATCTGATGAACATCAAGAACTACATTTGATTCCAAGGGTTTTGGAACCAATACATCTATTTTTACGGTTCTGCAGTTAACGGTCCCATCTTGTGATATCCCGTCGCTACAAACTTCTCCCCAGACATAAACATCGCCTAAGGATTCTATGTCATCGGGACCAGAAGTTCCAGTTGAACAACTTGGTGTGCTTGAGACACTAATTCGAAAACCATCAGTACTTGGTCTTAGCATGTTTCCACGTTCATATCCCACATCTGAGCTACCAAACTTTGTTGGAGAGTTTTGGATTCCTAAATCAATGGATGTTCTTCCTCGTCGAGTATTGTTTGGTGCGAAATCTATAGATGCAGTAGAAGGACGACCAGTGGAGAAACAGTCACTGTCATGTATCTGAAAGTGAGTTACATATAGTTAAAATATTAGACGTAAGGAGAGTATGGATGGTAAAATATAACGTAAATAAAGTCACGTACACACACACACCTCAGGGATCTCACTTTTGGCGTGCTTGTTACGGTTTTGTCTAATTAAAGACTTAAGTCCTGCAAACCAAATCTCTGTTTCAGCTTTGTCCTTGCAAATCTGTAGAGTATATATAAACATGAATATATATGACAAAGGAGTAGAAAAATCAAAGAAATTTAATATGTTATTGTTTACTAACCAGATCAAGAGATCTATCTCCGTTATGATATATGAGAGAAAATGACAAGTAATCCTTTTCAGGACGTAAATATCTTCGAAAAACAGCCTATGTATAAACAACAAGATGTGTGAGTTTCATGAAAATGAATTTCTTTTGAATAATAGAGTCAATGAAGTAGTATTTGGCTACACTCACAGTTCTTTGCCCTGAGAGAATTCGTGAAACTGTAGCTAACTTCAAACCTTTTTCTTCTCCGTGTGAAAACCAAAACAATGTTGTTTCATCCTGTTGGATTGCGATAACAAATCAAAATGTTTTTTTTTTTTCAGTAGATCATAAGAACGTCATATTGTCGATACACCGTTCACTCTTATATATGCGAAAGAAGTAGAAATACCGGCGAAAGCCTGAATGAGCGAAATTTAGGCCTTCCTTTGCGGCTATACTTAAGTAATTGAGTTCCTTTTTTCAGAGAAACGAGTGCCTACAAGAAATTAATGTATATATTTAGAAGAAAGACGATGGACATATGAAGCTTTTGCATCTAAATTCAAAACAAGGAAAATCACTAGCTCTTGAGTAAAAAGTGACTTAAAAATTAAAATGAATGTTTTAGGATCAACAAACATAACCTCAAAAGCTTTTGTATTAGTTTCATTGTCATGTCATAATTTAGGTTCAAACCCTAAAGTGTGCGGGTGTGAGTTATAAACGAAGAAAAATATGAATTCAAAAAGAACATTGAAGTTTTGGTAAGCGAGAATTGAGAGTTGCTAAAAAAAAACTTTCTTAGAGAAAATCATTCAAAATCCTTTCCAGGATTTTTCTCTACGTATTTAATATGATTCATATCTACTTTACTATAGAAAATCATTCTAAAATAAATAGAAGATTATGAAAATATGGAGAAAACAAACTTGGTCGATGTCACGGTCGTGATTGACATAGCTAGAGTGATCTGCCATTCCATCTGAGAAAACTCGAAAGAAGAAAGCCGGAGAGAAGGATAAAGCTCAACAAGCATCAGGTGGTTTGATTCACCTGTCTTCATAGATGCATCCGTCTTCAATTCCTTCTCCTACTTGATTCACTACTATGCTCATTCAATTCTTATTTTCGGAATTTTAACACACAATTATGATAATCAAAATTTTTGAAATCAATTAGAAAGATTTACGTTGAGTGTCATTAATGATCCTAAAAATTAGGAGAATGGTCAAAATAAAAAAGAGAGAGGACAATTTCTAAGGGAAGATCGCCATTTTAGGAGTGTTTGAAGCTCTCATGCAAATTCCCTTCCACATTTCACTCTCAGCATAAATCATTTTAATTAAACTGAAAAAACTTTGTTAGCATATTGTGCATCCATTTTGGTGTTTGCGCAAACACATTCAACATGAAAAATGTCTATTTTCTTACAAGCACATACTAATTAGAGTTTAGCAATTTAGTTTTAAAATTTGGCAGATTCAACACAATCGAAACTATTAAAATGAACCAGATAAATGTCCACACGATACGAAATGATATACTAGATGTATGCGTGCACATTTTTTCTGTTTAAATGTGTAATTCATTGATCAAATGGGAAAAAATAGTTTTTTTTTTTGGTGAATAAATGGGAAAAAATAGTTATGTACAGGCATATGTGTGCACATATTTTTCAATACTCTTAAAGAATTATTGGGATTGACTAGAAAACGTTAAAATTTCTCAATAAATTAGTTGATCAATAAAGTTAATATATGTTTCTTCACTTGTTTTTTTCACTTATCTTCTAATTAGATAGTTCAATCTTTTAAAACATGTCTGTAGAACTATCACACGTTCACTAGGGGACACAACCACGGCTCCTCCACCCAAAAATAAGGGATTCCTGTTAAAGACGGCTAAAAAACAGATATGTCACGGGAAATTATGTAAAGGCAACATTCAGAAGAAAAAAAAAGAACGAAGATATTTGAATTCTTGTTTTTTTTTTTTGAATGCAATGTTAATTTAGATTAAAAAATATCGTTTTTACAACAAGTGCAAGGTTTGTTTTTGATGAAAACTTAGATACAAGAACTCAAAATGTTGAAACTTGTTATTGAAGAAGAAAAATTGAAGCTTTTTGAGAAGTTGTTATTAGACAGATGAGATATAAATGCTATCTCCTACGCAGCCAACTCCATAAACATATACGTTTATGACCTTTTACATTGGCTTCTTCAGATACCTTATCGGATTTGCATGTATGTCTATCTGGACGTCGTCAGAAATATTTACAGTTTCGTCTTCAGATGCATTGATGGTCCAATCGCTCTGTTGTTGGACGATTTCGATCTCCATATATTTCAACACCACATCGAACAATCTCGTAGGCGTCAGAAGGTGTGCAGCTAAATTCGAACAATATCTCACTGTCTACTTCAAAACATCTATCTCTCTCGAGCAAGTTAGCGTGAAATAAACAAAGATGTTCCGATTGTGTTCCCGGGGACTGATCAGGTAAGCTAAAACAATGATAAACTTCGTTGATGGAGTCACCGTTTTTGCTTATGAGACGACACAATAAACTAATAAGCCTTCTTCTCTCAGTGATTAACCTGGTAGGGGAAATCACAATGCAAGCTTTAAATCTTGAGAATGCAGAAAAATGACTATCACTGATGGTCAAGAAATTTCCTTTAGCTTGGTGATTGAACGTTTCGGGCACTTCTCTTCCTGGTAAAACTCTCAACATGGGAAAGAATGATTGTTGGATAATACTCTTCGTGCTTCTTGGTTCAGTTTGAAGCAATTGGTGAAATTGTAGTCCACATATGAATTTAAGCTTGAAACACTTTCCAGTGATTCGCAGTCGCATGCATTTAACCACTTGAGCGAAAAAGGAAGCTGTGGCAGCGATTTGAGTTTTCTACATCCTCCTATATGAAGTAAATCTAGCTCATGAAGATCTTTGATCCAATCTGGAATCTTTTCAATACCCGTACACCTTAGGTCTAGATACTTTAGACTCATAGGGAGAGGTGTTAATGTCTTAAAGTTTCCACTGCCTTTTATAAAGAGAGACGTAAGACGAGTGCAAAGTATGATTGATGTAGGCAGTTCTTCTAACACTGTGTCATCTATAACGAGTATTGAGATGTGTGTAGAAATACCTGGAAGACTTTTTAATTGTGAGCAACCTTGCATGTCGACGAAATCAAGAGATGCCAAGTTGATGAGAGTTGGAACAACTTCTAGCTTTGTGCAGTTGTGTATTATCAACGTCTCTAGTTTTCGAAGTTCCGAAAAAGAGGAAGGAATCTCCACCAAACTCTTGCAATAACTTAGTTCCAATCTCTCGAGATTTGTAGCATTTGAAAGATCTGGAAGTTCCTTCAAATGAGAAGATCGTGTCAAATCCATTTTCTTGAGATTTGTAAGTGGCTGAGTGTTAAACATAAGCAGATAAAAAACATCAAAACATGATCATGTACATATACAATTAAAATATATATTTCAGATAAATAATCTAACCTGTGTTCCTTGCCAAAGCCTCTCAAGCTGGCTCTCTTGCAAATCGAGTTCTATAAGATATTCTGGATGAAATGTAGTAGGAAGAGCATTTCGTGGGTATGCTTCCCAGCGAAGTAACCGTAGATGAGGTGGAAACTCCAAGTCCTTAGGTATGTCCACTTGATCATTTTGAACATATCTTGTCTTGTAGACACTTAGGAATCGAAGATTACGCATTCTTTTGAAAGCTCCCTCACTTATGAAAACTTTGTTGATTCCAGATGTATCAAGCGATATGCCTATAGCAGCTCTAGTATCCTAAAATATACCCCAAATGAAGAATTTTTTAGTACAACAGAAAAAAATGCTTACCTTCAGAAAATAATATAGATTGAAGTAAAAAACTCACTGTGTCATTCTCAAGAGAAATCTCATCTACATCTATCAAGATGTGGCGTTTCCTAGGCTCTTGTCTATGAATTGCTTGTCTACCCACTTGTTGTAGTAATTTGTGCATTACTATTTTCCCACTGGTAGATTTATATATGAGTGATTTCTTGGTTAGGATTTTCAACCCTTGTTTGACATCCAAGTTACTGTCAGCGAGCATTGCGATCACATGATCATCTTTATTGTAGTTGAAAAAGACCGCCATGTAGCGAAATAGCGCTTGTTCTTCTACATGTAAGCTATCATACCCAACTCTAAGTGCTCCCTCGACATTTCGATCAAGACTAGTTTCTAGCCTGTCCAATAGAGCTTCCCACTCATCCCCCCCGCCCCCACCTGAAAAGTGACATATAAC